CGGGCCCCGGCGGGCGCGGGGGGCGTGTTTGCCTGTCTAGGGGTGGAGGAGGGAGTGGGTCCAAGGGCTGGCGCCTGTGGCTGTTTGTGTGTCCTCGCGTCCTGCGGTCGCGGGTCCCAGGTGGGCTCTGCGCCCGTCCGGTCACTGCCCGCGGGGCTGGAGTGTGCGGGGCTGTGTGCGTGCGCGCGCGTGTTTGTGGAGGGGCCGCCGGGTGTGTATCTGCGTATGCTCTGGGCCGTCATTGTGCCCGCCCGCCCGGGGCTCGAGGCGCGGGCCTGCCCCAGCGCAATCCCTCCGGCGTGGGGATGTTTTCCAAACAGGCTGCCTGCGGGAGACGGCTCTGCTGCAGCCAGAACCGGAGGGGGGAGCGCCGCCCCCACAGGCCTCCCGAGACCCGGGCGGCCTGGGGGCCGCAAACAGACACTTGAGGGAGTAAGAGGTGTTATCAGGGGGGATCAGAGGCCTGCCTGCCGGGCGAAGCCAACATGGGGAGACTGAGGCAGATGGGTGGGAAGGTGGAGGGGGGCAGACAGGTGGAGATGGAGAGGAGGGTAGGAAAGGAGACAGATGAAAAGGGCAGCGCCTGGGAGGGCAGAGAGTCATTGAGAAAACAGACAGACAGAGGCCTAGACTGGAAAGGGGCAGAAAGGTGAACAGATAGTTTCCAAGAACCTAGTAGAGGAGGTAGTTCAAAACTCCCCCTGCTAAAAGCTAGTACCAGTAACTCATTCTCAGATGAGGGGTAAGGGCCGGGAACTCCTGGGATGCCCCTCTTCCAGGCACGTCCTAGACTGGGATCTTGGCCAAAAAGCAGCCTGTGGCCACCCCAAATTGGTACATCCCTGACTCTGATTTGCCACCCTTTCCCTCTCCATCCATACCACCCATCTCTCCTTCCTGGTATCCCAGAAGCCCTGGGGCAGTGTAGGGGAGGCAGAGGTGAGGTGGTTGCCACAGTGGTCGGCTGAGGCTGTGAAAGGTCACTCTCCCTAGCCTAGGTGGCCCTGCTGCAGGCTGGAGCTGGGGTTGAGGGGTCTAGGGTGGGAAGCTGTGAAGCTCTTTTCTCCTCTTTCACTCTGCTCAGAATGGTGCTAGAAGGCAACCCCGAAGTGGGGTCCCCACGAACTTCAGACCTCCAGCACACCAGAAACAAGGGCTCTTGCGTCCTCTCTTCTCCTGGTGAAGAGGCACAGCCAGGCGAGGAGCCCATCAAGTATGGTGAACTCATCGTCCTAGGGTGAGCGTCCCTTGTCCAGGAGGGGTGTGGCACCAGACACCCCTCCAGGGCAGCCAGAACAAGGGCCCCAGGTCCCCCCCATGTAGGGCCTTCTGCTGTTTCTTCTCACCTTCCCAGCTGAAAGACAACATTGACCAAACCTACCTCAACTTGTAGCTGTGATTTTTATCATCCTGATTTTGATAAATTACTGACACAAATCTAAATTGTCCACCCAAGTTTCTGATCAGATAAGGAAAAAAAGTAACACCAGCTGCCTTTCATTAAGCACCTAGTATGTGTGATGTGGTGTGGTGTGAAAAACCCAGCAAAATTGCTTACTGCCAGTCGTGCCTCTGCAAGTTGCTGAAATTCCCTGAGCCTCCATTTTTCCACTTTGCAAACAAGGATGCTAATGATCCCTACCTCCAAGGGTAGTCAGAAGGAATGAATGAAGCAATTTCCGTAAAATATAGAATAGTACATGGCACGTATCACGTGTTCTGGGAAGCAGGCCTATGCCAAGCTCTTTCATGGACATTATTTCATTTCAATCTTCACAAAGATGCTGTGAGGAAGGAGGTGAGGAAACCGAGGCTCAGAGAGGGGAAGTGACTGGCCCAAGGGCACACAGCTGGTAAGTGGCAGGGCTGGGATTTGGATCCAGATCTTTCTTACTCCAGGTCTAGTGCACTATCATTTAGCCATGGCTGACCCTCATGCTCCAGATGAGAAAACTGAGGTTAGGCGAGTTGAAGCAACTGAGTTAGTGGCTGAGCAGACCCCATCCATTCTTGTTTTTTTTTTCTTTTCTTTTTTTTTTTTTTTAAGAAGTTTTTTGCTATAGGGCACGTGCACTCGCCAGGAAGACACAGACAGAGGGACAGAAAGTGAGAAATCACCCCCCTCCAGGGGTATGGCCATGCTGCAATCCCTTCTGCTCCATTCTCCTCTCGGGATCGTGGGCACGCACGTACATTCACCTGTGATGAGCTTAAGCCACCAGGTCTGGGACTCGAACCACGATCGACTACATGGGAGTCCAGCAACATGGCCATTACACTAACAGCTGGTCCTCATTTCTAGTTTTCTGTCCTTTTTTTTTTTTTTTAAGAAGTTTTTTGCTATAGGGCACGTGCACTCGCCAGGAAGACACAGACAGAGGGACAGAAAGTGAGAAATCACACCCCTCCAGGGGTATGGCCATGCTGCAATCCCTTCTGCTCCATTCTCCTCTCGGGATCTTGGGCACGCACGTACATGCACCTGGCGTGAGTTTAAGCCACCAGGTCCAGGACTCGAACCACGGTTGACTACATGGGAGTCTAGCAACTTAGCCATTATGCTAACTGCTGGTCCCTGGTTTTCTTTTGACCAGAATCCCTTCACCACCCACTCAGTGTTTCCCCAAGGCATAGACTGACTCTTCTTCCTCCCCTAGCCTTGTCTCCTTTTAGCCTCTCTCTCTCTGCCTTTGGTCCTAAAGAAACTTTCATAAGTTACATGATTATTTTGATAATTATTAGGAAATAATAGCTACTATTTCTTGACACCTATGTGTCAGGTGTATTTTAAAATAATAATAGCTAACACTTATCAAGGGCTTTCTATCAGTATGCCAGACTTTGTGCCCACCAATTCTAAATGCTTTTTCTTCTTTAGTTCTCAAAATGAACCTGTGGTAGAACCTGAAAAATTAGAGCAATTTTATTGAAATCATGTGATATGTGGAAGAGCCAGGATTTAAGCCAGGCCCATCTGAGCCCCAAGCTATGTCCTGAACTACCCTCTCTAACTTCCCATATGTAGGAAGAGCTCAACAAGGATAAAAGTGTTGCCCCCCTCAGAGGTGCTTGTGTTGGAAAAGCAGCTGCTTAACTGTCGCAAAGGAAGGGCTGGCTTTATAGCTAAGGGCAAGGCCACTGATAGGAGAAACTGCAGGCTGAAGGCTAGGTACCCTCTTGTCAGCTGCCTGTCCTCTATAAAGCTGTGACGTCCCACAATGGCTGTTTGTCACCTCTCTAAAAAGTGCATTGAAAATGTACATTGATCAGCCCACCGTAAACCCTACAGAATCATAATCTCTATTGGTGGGGGCAGGGAATCTGTATTTTACAATAATAAGTTAACTAGAAGATTCTGATTCAGATGGTCCTTGTCTGTATTCGGTAGCTACTTACCTTTTCACTCCCTGTTTCAAAACCTCCATGGCTCCCCACTACGTACAGCCCAATGCCCTCAGCTAGCCCTGGGGCCTTTGATCAGGGTGAGCCCTCCCTCTAGAAGGGCTTCTGCAACTCTGCAGTCAGACAGACCTGAGCTCAAATCTGGACTTCTTCACTTACTAGCTTGAGACAAGTCACTTTACCTGCTTGAGTCTCGATTTCTCTCATTTGTAAAATGGGAAGAAAGATATTTGCTGGGCAGGGCATTGCCCAGATTCCATTAGGTAATTAAGGACCAGAGACACAAAGGCACCAGTACATGGCAGCGACCAAGGCTGTGACTCACCCCATCTTTGCCTCTCATAATCATTCTCTCCGCACAAGAACTGGAAAGGAAGGTGGAAATTTGACATGCATGGATATGTGGAGGTAGTGGCATTGTGGGTTGATTTCTTTTTTCTTTCACTGGTTTCTGGTAGTGATACAATAATGACAGTTTGCTATAGGCGAATCCTTTCCATTTCTTCAAGGCTTCCTCTCCCAGAGACCTGATCCTGGGGCCAGAATGTCTTTCTCCTGCCTCTGAGCCTATGATATACTTGGCTTGTGCCAGGATCATGACAGATGGCACTTAGGCTCCTTGAGAAGGAAGGGCATAAGACTGATGTGTGGTGTGTCACCTATGCCACCACAGTGCCCAGCACCTGTCTAGGTGTGACTCAGGCAGCCGGAAGACACGTGGTTAGCTGTGTGAAATGTCTTTTGAAACTGTTCTGACATCAACTCCCTCCCCCACTTCCTAGTGCACTGACTTGATACTGTAGGGTTTTCTAGATTCATTGGCTCCAGAGCCTGTTTATTAAGGTAGGATTTGCCCAGAAGTCAGTAGTTCCTTCCTTCTTATCCAGGGCTCACTTCCTTTCTTTTCCTCTCTCCTACAACCCTTTCTTCTTAACCCCCTACATCCACAGCTACAATGGGTGTCTGGCAAGTGGGGACAAAGGCCGCCGGCGAAGCCGCCTGGCGCTGAGTCGACGGCCTCATGCCAACGGAGTGAAGCCAGATGTCATGCACCATATCTCCACACCACTCGTCTCCAAGGCAAGCAGCTTATCCCAGAAGTAGGCCTGGGTACCGCCCCTGCCCTCTGTGCCCACAGCCCAGTCTTCAGCTTTCCCATTCCCGCCTGTTCACAGCCCTGTTGGGATGGGGAGCTCACTGTATCCCTCACTGCCTGCTGGGCCACCAGGGAAAAGGTGATGGTGGAAGCCTTTGCAGTGTGCATAGTCCTTTACAGTTTGCAAATGTCACCTCAGTCACCAGACCCCATTCACTGGATGGAAATGAGCCGCATTATTTTAGAGGCAGCCAATGCCCAAAGAGGGGGGATGTGACAGCCACATAGTGATGGCCGAGGGAAATTCTTTGGCTTTAGAGGATGTGGGTGAGAATTTGGCCTCTGGTATTTTCAGCTTTGTGGCTTTAGAATAATTTATTCTCTCAGACCTGCAATTCCCCAGCTACGAAATATGAATGATAACCTGATTCTTGGGGTGGCTGTAAGGGTTAAGTGAGGAAACCTGTGTAAGGTACCTGCCACTTGGTATACCCTCTGCAAAGGATGGACCCATCTCCTTCCCTGGGAGTGACTGCTAGGCCTTGAGCTCCAGCTCAGTCATAGAAGTTTATACCTCTCATGGTCTCATGCCCCGGGAAGTGACTTCTTTCTCCCTACCAGGCTCTGAGTAACCGTGGCCAGCACAGCATCTCGTATACACTGTCCCGGAGCCACTCTGTCATAGTGGAATACACACACGACAGTGACACAGACATGTTCCAGGTATGCTCAGGCCTCTCCACAGGCTTCTGGCCACTGGGCCACCAGGGCATGCCAGGGTGAGGCTGCAGAACCACAAGCCATGGGAAAGGTGCTTTGGGGGTCTTCAGTATGGTTGACCACTCTGCAGATGAGGAAGCAGATATCCCGGCATGGGCTGCTGGCTTTGCAGAGCAGCAGGTCAGTGTCTATATCAAGACTCCCAGACAGCAGGAGGCCACACAGCTTAGGAATTCAGAGTACAGATGTGAGAGAGGGTCATAAAGCCCGAGTGCAGGTCCCAGTTCCTTCCTTTACAGACAGTTGACTTTGGTCAAAAGTCTCTTAGCCTCTCTAGGCCTTGGTTTCTTCATCTGTAAAATGGGCCCCAAATAGTATCTACTCTGTGGGAAAATTAACTGAGGTATCACACATAAAATGCTTAGCATGGTGCCTCGTATATAGTAAATACTTAACTAAACATTCACTCTTGGGCCAGCCTATGGCTTGGTGGTTAAGGCAGCTGGATCCCACATGGATGACCATGTGGTTTGAGTCCTGGACCTGGCAGCTTGAAAAACACACTAGGCATGTGTTTATGCATGCCCCAAATCCCGAAAGGAGGGAGAAAGGGATGAGAAGAGATTGCAGCATGACCATGCCCTATGGAGGATGCATTCTCACTTTCCCTCGCTCATTCTCTGTCTTTCTCCAGCTAGCTCATGCAGCCGTTGACAGCTTTTTTTTTAAATTCACTTTTTGCTGCTAATACTCTTCCACTATGGGAATTATGCTTTCACTGTCCTATCCACAAATCCGCTTGTTTTTATTAAGCGGAGTACTCCTCAGAGCTGTGGGGTGGCAGAGAAGAAACTCCTGACTGTGGGTCACTGGACCTGGAGACCCCACCCAGGAGCCCAGGGGATGGTGGGAGAGGGAGTTCCTTCTTAAGGCTGGGTACCCCGTTGTCTTAAGGTCCTGCACGCAGTAGGCTGGGTGGCAAGCCCATGAGATCTGCCTGTGCACATGAAATCGTGTTTGCCTTCCTCTTCCTCACAGATTGGCCGCTCCACAGAGAACATGATCGACTTTGTGGTAACAGACACATCCCCTGGTGGAGGGGCTGCTGAGGGCCCTTCTGCCCAGAGCACCATCTCCCGCTATGCCTGCCGCATCCTCTGTGACCGCCGGCCACCCTATACCGCCCGCATCTATGCCGCTGGCTTTGACGCCTCCAGCAACATCTTCCTTGGAGTGAGTGAGCCCCCAAGCAAGGATCACCTCTTCATGAGAGTGAGCCCAGGGCTAGGCTGAGAGGTGCAGCCACCTGGGGTGATGAACTAGCCCATGTGATCCTTGCCATGACCCAAGCAGGGATTAGTAACCCCACGTAAAGAATGAGCAAAGTGAGGCTCAGAGTCAGGCAAGGCTCAAGTCATGCAGCTCCAAATCCCAGACCTTTCTGAGCCACCTCTGAACTGAAGGGTAGAGGGCAGCACCTCTGGCACGTGGCTTGCTGGAGCCACGTGGTGATGTGATCTGATTTCTCATGTGGTCCCAGGAGCGGGCAGCCAAATGGCGGACCCCTGACGGCCTGATGGATGGCCTGACGACCAATGGAGTCCTGGTGATGCACCCAGCAGGCGGCTTCTCCGAGGACTCGGCCCCGGGTGTCTGGCGAGAGATCTCAGTCTGCGGGAACGTGTATACGCTGCGGGACAGCCGCTCAGCCCAGCAGCGGGGGAAGCTGGTAGGTGGCCCACTCCACACCCTGGCCCCCATCCTTCCCAGACCCTTGCAATCTGCCTAGCCCCAGCCCATGCCAGGAAATGATCTCCAGTTCTCTTGCCCAAGAAAGACTCCTGGGGGAGTCCTAGGCTCAGGGAGTTCTTGGAATGCACCACTTGCCCACCCCCCCCACCACCACCAGACCAAACCAGCATCCCCATCCTGAAGTGTAGCCTGCATACTGCTAGAGGTCCATGAGGCGTTGTGAAGTGGAGCACACACAGGTATTCTGTGTAGTACCACACGGCTTTGAAGCTGCCAGCAACTTTAAAAAAATCACACCCTCTTATGAGGGTGACACTTGGCCCGTGTGTGAGCAGCTTATATCCTGGAGTGTTGGCAGTTTGTAGCACGTCTGTCAGGTTTAGATGGGTTTAGCTTTGTGATCCTCTCCCAGCAGGAAAGGGCCCTTGGAGTAGTTCTGTAATGGATGGCGGCAGAAACTCCATGTGGTACAGATCAGAGAACTGAGGTTAGGAGTTGGAAGTGTGTCCTAGAGAGGCAGAGGCTGGCCCAAGGCTCGGCAGCCATGTTCCTGAAATGGGCCACGCAGAGCTGTTCTTGGATGTGGGTATATCAGCCAAGGGAATGTAAAACCTCAAGAAAAAGCATGGCCTGTTTTTCTAGAGTGTCAATTCTACTAGAAGATTTGGGGAAGCTTTTTTTTTTTTTTTAAGAATTATTTTATTTTATCTTTATTTATTTATTTTATTTTAATTTGACCAGAGAGGAACAGAGTGAGAGAGAGGGAACATGAAAAAGTAAGCCACCAGGTCTGAGACTCGAACTGAGGTTAGCCATCTGGGAGTCCAGTGCCCTTAACCACCACACCATCTGCTGGCCCTGGGGAAGCATTATTTTAAAGACTATGCACATGTTTGTTTCACAAGCACCCACTCTGTGCCAGGCACCATTCCAAGTATGTATTCATTTAATCCTGATTGATTAATCTTTAAAGAGAACCACTTGAGATACCTGGAAGTGGAATCTATACCGAGGGTGAGCAAACTAAGACACAGAGAGGTTAAGTTACTTGACCAGGGATGCAGAGTCAATAAACTGTGAGGCCAGAATTCAAAACCAGGTAGTCCAACTCTAGAGTCTTTGCTTTTAACTACAAGCCCTGGAACAGCTTTGGGTTAAGTAACTCGTATTTTGTGTTAGGGATGCTTCCTGCCTCTGCCATTAAGAAAGAGCTTTGGAAAATGGTTTAGAAATATCCTGTTTTGGTCCAGACCTGATTTGGCAAATGAAGAAACCAAGGCCTATGCCCTGTTGAGAGCAAGGGAGGGCACGTGCTGGGGAGCACCCTCCTGCCCTCCCACGTGGCCTGCCACCCCACCCCTGCCTACCCTGCTGGCCCATGGGTGCCCCCTCCAAGAAGATTAAGTGGGACGGATGGGCGGCTTGGCTGGGTGAGGCTGCTCCGTGGTAGGGCCTGGGAACCTCTTGGGCAGTAAGGCCTTCTGCTGCCTCTGGCAGGTGGAAAACGAGTCCAACGTGCTGCAGGACGGCTCGCTCATCGACCTGTGTGGGGCCACACTGCTGTGGCGCACGCCTGCAGGGCTGCTGCGGGCACCCACGCTGAAGCAGCTGGAGGCCCAGCGGCAGGAGGCGAATGCAGCACGGCCCCAGTGCCCTGTGGGCCTCAGCACCCTGGCCTTCCCCAGTCCGGCCCGTGGCCGCACAGCGCCTGACAAGCAGCAGCCCTGGGTCTACGTGCGTTGCGGCCATGTCCACGGCTATCATGGCTGGGGCTGCCGGCGTGGGCGAGGCCCCCAGGAGCGGGAGTGTCCTCTCTGCCGCCTTGTGGGGCCCTACGTGCCCCTCTGGCTCGGCCAGGAGGCCGGCCTCTGCCTGGACCCTGGGCCGCCTAGCCATGCCTTTGCACCCTGCGGCCATGTCTGCTCAGAGAAGACTGCCCGCTACTGGGCCCAGACACCACTGCCCCATGGCACCCACGCTTTCCATGCTGCCTGCCCCTTTTGTGGGGCCTGGCTCACTGGCGAGCATGGCTGTGTCCGCCTCATTTTCCAGGGGCCACTGGACTAGGCTCCCCCGGATCCCCTGCTCTCATGTCCGTCTGCCCACCTAGGTCCCCCACCTCCTGCAGCCCAGAGGGAGCTCTGCATGTGGGACTTACCTGCTGGCATGTAGCCACACCAGTGGACAAATGGATGGGCTGTCACTTCCCCCTGACTTTGGTGGCCCAAGGGGGTCCCCAAGATGTCTATTCCAGTCATACTGATAGGGCTTTCAGCACCAGCTCTGTCCTGGGCTGAGGGAGGAAAGCCCAGCCCCTGCCCCTGCCCTTCTTGGGGTATCCCACATCATGCCGCCTACACTGTGCCCCTGGGGGAGTGAAGGGGCCCCAGGACCCTGACCCCCAGCTTAGGCTGGCTGTGCCCTGAGCCTGCCAACCCAGTTCCAGATACTCATCCTTCCTGCTGCTGCCCTGGGTTTCTCTATAAACCTCGCTACTCAGCTGCTGTCATAAATCCCACATGTCCCACATACGTGCAATGCTCCAGCCCCTGAGTGGGTGATAGGTGGGCAGCAGGCAGGGACTGGCACTTGCTGATACCTGCTATGGGCTGAACTCCTTGCCAAGTGGGCTGTGGGAATGCAGAGACTGAGATGCAGCTCCCCACCTCGTGGAGTTCATGGTCTTGAGGAAGATAGACCAAATGACAGCCCAGCCTCATGTGTGCTAGGATCAGAGGATTATAGAGGGCTATGGAGCAGTCCTCTCTGGTGGTGGCCAAGTGAGGGGGGCGCGTCACAGAGGTGGTGGCAGAGGAGCTCAGTGTCAAAGGCTGCTCCAAATGCTTCAGGGTCACAGGGCGGAAAGGGTGCTTTGTGCAGAAGGGAGAGCCCATGCACAGGCTCTGGGTAGGTAAGCAGGGTCGGCGTGACTGACCAGGGCGGCCAAAGCATGGGCTGCAGGTGGGCAAAGAGGGCTGGCGTAAGAGGTTAGGGCCATGCTGACAGAGGAAGGTGCTGGATGGAGTCTGGCCCTTATTTGTGGATAGTCGGGAGTCAACAAAGCAAAGAAGATGCATGGCTCCCAAGCATTGGCTGCGACAAGGGCTACCATTACTGAATGCCCACCACGCGCCCCACATTGTGCTGATGATAATAACTACGTTCCCTGAGCACTCACCAGGCACCGGGCTCCGAGGTTTTGTTATTTAATCCTCACCCAGGGAAGGAGATTGAGGCGCATGTACCAAGTCACACAACTGTAACAGAAAGTGGCCACACCGAGACACCAGCTGCCCTGCTGGCGTCAGAGCCTGTCCCTCATGCTGTGCTGTTTTCCTTCAGTGGGGCGGGGGTGAACTGAATGGGGTTTTGGAGACTGTTCCATCAAGAGCTGGAGAATGGACTGGTGGGTCCACTAACCCACCTATACGGTGCCCAGTCCCATGCAGGGCCCTAGCAATGAGCATGGCCCTGCCTCCCGGAGCTCACAGTCTGAGAGCGGCCCTGCACCTGGTTGCTGGGAGCTGACTGCTACACCCGTACAGGCCACCTGTGCACCAGGCCAGATGCAGTGGGCTGTCAACCAGGGAGGTGTTCTAGGGAGAGAGCCAGGGGGCTCCTAAAAACGCACAGGGAGGACTTGGAGGCTGGGCCACAAGTTAAATGGCAGAGTAATTCCAGAGGCAAGGAGGAGTAGGGGGAGGGGGAAGATGCACGGTGTGGCTGGGAAATGCTTAACGACCAGTGAACTCAGTGTGGAGCAGAGAAGAGGATGTGGGGCTGGGTGGGCCTTGGCTGTCATGGAAGCTAAATCCAAACTGGACCCCTGTTTATCCTGGTGATGGGCCACCTCTTCCTGTGAGCAAAGGACCAAGATTGGGGTGTTGCTGGAGTTGGCCCAGACATTCCTGGACTGAGTGTCAGGAAGCCAGGCAGACAAACCCAGGGATATGAAAAGAAAAGGCGCTGAGTACAAGCCTGACCTGGGCATCCTCAGCAGAAGATAGATGCTGGACCCTTATGCAGTGCAGGTTCCAAGGGGAGGGGGCTGCCCAAGACCACACAGCTGGTTACAAACCAGACCTGGGCTGTTGAGGATAGGAGGCATCCACATGTGGTGAGACGAGGGAGATGTGATTGGATTCCTGATTCTAGAGCATTACCCTGCTACAGTGGAGGGGTGGGAAGCAGGTGGGGAAGCTGGAACTGGCATGGGTGCATTTCAGCTCCCTCACACACACGAAGCACTAGAAATCCAGCTCTTCCCGGTTCTCTTCTGCTCTTGTAGGGACCAGTCCGAGCCCCATCGTAAGCAGGAAACTGCAGACTTGGGGGTGGGAGGCAGGCAGAGGGCATCACCTAGGGCACGGGGGAGCTCAGAGGTCGTGATGGAGGGTGTCACACAGTCCTGGTCTTGTCCCAGCTCTGTACTTTCCCAGTTCCTGGAGCCTCAGTTTCCTTAACTGTTAAATAGAAAAACAGTCCCTACCTCATCAGGTGGTTGCGAATGTATGGAGGGCACCTGTAACATACTAAATACTTAGTGCTGTTACTTTTCCACCATCCCCATTTTCATTCCTCTGGGGAAGAACCAAGGCTGCTGAGGATGGTGCTGACCCCAGTGAGTAGTTGGGGGTAGTGGTGTGTGTGTGTGTGTGTGTGTGTGTGTGCGTGTGTGTGTGTGTACTGGGGGCAGGGGGAAAGGACAATGTGGTGGAAGGTTTGAATAAAGATAAGCCTCAATTCAGAGATACCTGAAGACGATGTGTGGCCTTAGGGAATTCAGTGCACCTCAGCCTCAGTTTCCCCATCTGTACAACGAATAAAACAATGATATCCAATTGCAAGTTTCTTTTGCAAAAATTAAATGACATCCTCTGTATGAAGTGGCTATGTCATAAGGGACCTCAAGAAGTGTTCATATTAGTTATGATCATAAAAATGTTACCATGCAGCTTGTGGGGGGTCGGGGTTGCATCTCAAAAGTACTGGGAATTTTGTTTGCCTAAGCTAATGCCTGGTGACAGTGGATAGCAGTACCTCCTCTTCCTGAGTCTATTTCAACTTTATTTTATTTCTTTTTTTGGATAGGTTTTTGCTATAGAGCACATGCGCTTGCCAGAAAGACAGAGAGGGGCGGAAAGGACAATGTGGTGGAAGGTTTGAATAAAGATAAGCCTCAATTCAGAGATACCTGAAGACGATGTGTGGCCTTAGGGAATTCAGTGCACCTCAGCCTCAGTTTCCCCATCTGTACAACGAATAAAACAATGATATCCAATTGCAAGTTTCTTTTGCAAAAATTAAATGACATCCTCTGTATGAAGTGGCTATGTCATAAGGGACCTCAAGAAGTGTTCATATTAGTTATGATCATAAAAATGTTACCATGCAGCTTGTGGGGGGTCGGGGTTGCATCTCAAAAGTACTGGGAATTTTGTTTGCCTAAGCTAATGCCTGGTGACAGTGGATAGCAGTACCTCCTCTTCCTGAGTCTATTTCAACTTTATTTTATTTCTTTTTTTGGATAGGTTTTTGCTATAGAGCACATGCGCTTGCCAGAAAGACAGAGAGGGGCAGAGAGACAGAAAGCGAGAAATCACCTCCCAGAGGGGATGGCCACGCTGCAACCGCAACTCCTTCTCCATTCTCCTCTCGGGGGTCTTGGGCACGCACGCATGCACATGTGTCCAGCGTGAGTATAAGCCACCAGGTCCAGGATTCGAACCACAATCGACTACATGGGAGTCCAGCAACATAGCCATTACACCAACTGCTGATCCCGTCTATTTCAACTTTCAACTCACCCCAGCCAGTCAACTTTATGCTCATTTAACAGACGATGGAAATTGAGACAAAGGAAAGGAAAATGTGACTTCCCTAAGGACATATACCAATGTATGGAGCCCCCCCCATAACAACTACCGACATCAGAGCCAACAGTTAGTAGTACTGTCGTGCTGAGCAGGGCCTTGGGCACCTGTGCTGGGAAGACACTGCCCTTGGCAAGGACAATATGTCAGATATGAGTTGTCACCCCCCACCCCCATATACACACACACAAATAATTCTAGGGGTTAGCACTGGCAGTGGATTCAGTTGTTAGCCTGGTCTTCTCACTGAGGAAGCAGGCTCAGAGAGGTAAAATAACCCACCCAAGGCCACAGAGCTAGTAGGTGTCAAGGCCTAATTCGACTTTAGGTGGCCTGGTTCTGCCTCCAAACTGACCCGGGAACCTCACGATGCTCCTGACTTCCACACGCCATACCCTCCCCAGCCCTTCCTCTTGTAAGGCTGACCAGATGAGTAAGTGGACCTAGGACCCACCTCTGCCTTGGGCTGCCTTTCCAGTCTCAAGAGGCTCTCTCAACCTTGCAACCAAGAATTACCAGTTCTTCCCTGCCCTGGCCCCTTTGTGCTGAAGAAACAGGCTCAGAGATGTTTAGCTCCCACTGCTGGCCTGGAGTGAGGGGGTGGGGGCGTCGGTGCAATGAAGCACTCGGGTGCCTGCCTCTGTTCCGGCACCGTGGACCATTTCAGCCGCGGCTGGAGCCCACTCGTCTGTAATCTCGATGTCCTGCACTGAAAGCTTTGCAGTCTAGGAAAAACCTCCACCCCCAAGCCCCCATCTCAGGGGTAAGGAGGAAGGGGAAGCCACACTGGGCAGGTTACCATCTGCAAAACTGAGGTCAAGGGACTCTCGGGTGAATCCCCAAAGGAGAGCTAGGTCGGGAAGTGCCCTGGTACTCCGCCCCTGACACCCACGCGGGCCCCTCGGGGACCTTGTCAACCTAGTCTGCCCGGACTAGGCCGCGGCCAGGGAGTAACTGAAGATCTCAGCGCCAGAGCCGCCAGCGGACAAAAGGCCAAGGCCGCAGGAGCAAATCGCAGCTCTTCGGGGCGGGGAGCCAGCGGACAGGAGGAGCTCGCCTCAGTGTGCCTATTGGCTGGAGTCACCGCCCATCCGGGCCTCGGGTCCTGACAATTGGCCGGTGGGGGTGGGGTTCGCAGAGCCCCAATGAATGGGGGAGCCGGAAGCAGGAAGTGAGTTTGCGAACAGAGCGGCTGCTGCAGGTGAGGCGCGGCGCCCGGGTTTCGGGGTCACAGTGTCATGCACAGGGGACCAGGGCCAGGCTGGACCGAGCACAACAGCATTCACTTTCTGCTCTCTGTCCAGCACCTTTCCAAATTTATCCCGGCCCCTAAGCCAAGGAGCTCCTCGGGCGGCAAAGAGTTAACACGTTTGCCAGAACTCTGGGGATTGTGCTATTGGGGCGGAGCCTCGGCGTGTCTAGAGGAGGCAGAAACTCTCCCAGGCTGGGAGGGGTCTGTGGAGGATGCCGGGGGTTGAGCGACCCGACCCCCGAGTCCCAAGGGAGCTCTGAGGTTTTTCAGTAACTTGATTGGCCTCTCCAGGCCTCAATTTTCATATCTGTAAAATGGGTTTCCTTCCAGCTGTAACCTTCTGGGACTCAATGACTTCCCTGGCTGAACACAGGGAAAGGGCAGGAGAATTGGGGGCTGAAGAAAATACATGGAGAGGGATGAGGATGGGACAGATCTTGAGAGCAGTGAGGGAGGAAAAGAGTGCAAGAAAAATTATTCACTGCTAGTAAATAATTGTTAGTGGTACTTTCCATCCAGGGTGACTCCATCTAATTTGCACACCCACCTGATGAGGTTGGGGTTATTATCATCCCCGTTTTACAGAGGAGGAAATGGAGAGGAGAGAAGTGAAGCAGTTGACTTTTAGGAGTCTGGGGCTGAGTTGGAAATGGAACCTGAGTCTTTGGGCTGACATGTTGGCACTCTGTGAGCTCAATGGTGGGGAGGTTGAATTCGGAACAAGGAGGCTAGGCGGTCAAAGAGGAAGGGAGACAAGGAGAGGCCTGGGCTAAGAATCTAGAGATGCAGGTCTCTGCTGCTGTTCCCTCTGCTGTGTGATTAGGCAAGGCTCCTAACCTCTCTGGACCTCTGTTTCCCCATCTGTAATATTGTACTAGGTAGTTGAGTCCAGTCTTCAAGGTTGAGGGGCTGCAGGCCAAATATGGCCCACCAAAGCATTTTATAATTTTTTTTTTTTTTAGGTAAGTCACTTAGTCTTTTCCAAGCTGCAATTAGCACATCTGGTGGATAGGTACAATAGAATTCCCTTCCTCGTGAGCTTCTGGGAAGATCATGAGAGTTCAGAGCCAGGGGTGCAGTTGGTAAATGGTGAGTGTGCTGATGGTGATGGTTCCCAGCAGGGCCCATGGCGGACACCCAGTACATCTTACCCAATGACATCGGCGTGTCTAGCTTAGACTGCCGCGAGGCCTTCCGCCTGCTGTCATCCACTGAGCGTCTCTATGCCCACCACCTGTCTCGAGCCGCCTGGTATGGAGGCCTAGCTGTGCTGCTGCAGACCTCCCCTGAGGCCCCCTACATCTACGCTCTACTCAGCCGCCTCTTTCGTGCCGAGGACCCCGACCAGCTACGCCAGCATGCCCTGGCTGAGGGCCTTACAGAGGAGGAGTATCAGGTTAGTTCCTTCAAGCCAACACACATTTCCTGAGTGGCTTCTAGACATGAGGGACCATGGTACAGGAGTACAAAAGCCCCCCCCCCCTTCTTTCTCCCTTCCTCTCTCTCCTTTTTCCCTCTTTCAGGCAGTAGTTGGAAGATAAGACCAAAGGTAACAAATTCAGAAACCTCCCCTTCTGAAGCCTCAGTCTTCTCATCTGTAACATATTGGGTTGTTTGTATCTCTTAGCATTGTGACGACCTACTTAGAACAGTGCCTGACCACAAGGTAAATGGTGAGGACTGTGGTTATTACAAAGGAAACAGTGGTGACAGTTCAGAGAAGGTAGAGGAAGGAGTCCATCATAAGAATCAGGTCTAAGTCCTAGATCAGTTCTTTGCCACATTGTGGAACCTTGGGTAGAATGTTCAACTTTTGCCTTGGTTTTATATGTTTGAGAATGTGTTGGCTGAAGACAAGTCGAACATACCTAATCTGAAAATCTGAAATGCTCCAAAATTCAAAACTTCTTGAGCATTGACATGATACCACAAGTGGAAAATTCCTGATCTGACTACATGTGATGAGTAGGTCAAAATGCTGCAATACGGAATTGTCATATAAATGACCTTCAGGCTATATATATATAAGGTATACATGAAACAACTCTTTTTAGTGTTTGCCTTAGGGCACTTGTGCTCATCAGAGAGAGAGACAGCGAGAAAGAAAGTAGGAAGTCATCCTCACCCTCCCGACCCCCACTGGGGATGGCCACACTGCAGTCCCTTCTCCTCCATTCTCCTCTTGGGATTTTGGGCATTCACGCACATGCACCCAGCGTGATTTTCAAGTCTCTGGGTCTGGGACTCATACCATGGAGTTGGCTGTGTGGGATCCAGCTCCTTTAGCCACCCTACCACCTGCTGGCCCCATGAAATTTAACTTTATGTTTAGACTTGGGTCCATCCTCAAGACATCTCACTGTATTTGCAAAGACTCTAAAATCCAGAAAAATCTGAAATCTAAGACGTCTGGTCCCCAGCATTTCTGATAGGGGGTACTGAACCTATCATACGAGAATTCTTAGTGCATTGCTCCAGTGTAGAAAGACACAAAACATAAAGCTCACTCGTTCTCAGTGCCCTCCCAGAGGTGATTACTGAGGCTGCTGTGTCCAGCTTCATCAATCCTCTGTACACATACACATCCAGTGTAGTGGTCCCTTTTCTCTTTCACGTAAAGGATGTCATGCTTTCCCTGTTGTGCCCTGCAATTTTCATAACAGCATGTCTTGGATAATTTCCCTGGGGTACATATTGGATCGTCAGAAAGTCATGACATATTTTTGCATAGAAAAATATGTCATGACTTTTCCAATGACCCAGTATAACGCCACTTCATTCTTTATTATTGGCCATGAAGCATTTCACAGCACTGTACACTATAACCAACTTACTCTTTTTTTAAGAACTATTTTTATTAACTTTATTTATGTATTTAATTTTACCAGAGAGAGACACTGTGAGACAGAGAGGGAAAATGAAAAAGCAAGCCGCCAAGTTCAGGGTTTGAACCACTCAGCCATGTGGGAGTCCAGTGCCCTTAACTACCACACCACCTGCTGGTCCCAACGTCCACTTTTTAAATTTTTTTTTTAAGAATTATTTTAACTTTTTAATTTATCTACTTATTTAATTTGACCACAGAGGGACAGAGTGAACGTGAGAGTGAGTAAGAAAGCAAGCCACCAGCTCTGGGACTCGAACCATGGTCGGCCATGTGGGAGTCCAGTGCCCTTAACCCCCATGCCACCTGCTGCCCCCCCCCCCAATTTACTCTTTTCTTTATTGCTGGATAGTCCTATTGTACATGGGTTTCTTCCAAATAGTCCATGGTGAGCACAAGTGTGAGTAGGATCTATTTCTAGAAGCAGAATTGCTGGGTCAGAGGCTGGATATGTTACAATTGTTTGATACTGTTAAATCATCTTCTAAAAAAGCTTTACCGAGTTATATTTGTACCAAGAATATATGAAAATATGGCCTGTTTTTCTAGATGTAAAAAATAAATGGGCTGGGTTGGATTGTTTATCTCTAAGGTGTTTCTTGTACCTCTCTTGAACTTTGGGTAACCACTTCCCATCTCTAGATCTGGTTTACTTGTTAAAAGAGCTAATATCTGAGGAAGTGCTTCTAAATGGAAAAGTACTACACAAGTGTTACTATTTTCAGTGGGATTCTTTGTTTACAAGTGGCAGAAACCCAGCTCAAACTGACATAAATGCAAAGACAGTTACTGGCTCACCTAATTAAAAAATCCAGGGCTAGAGGAGGCTTCAGGCACAGCTGGATTCAGGGGCTCAGCATTACCATTCATCTCAGCTTTGTTTTCTTTTTTTACTCCAGGAAGGGAGCTCCAGGAGCTTGCAGATGTGATGATCTCTAATATAAGATGGAGGCTCTTTATCAGTGGAAAATTTCCCGAGTAGGGCTCTTAATGGGTAGCCTGATCCTTCTGACCATCTCTGTAGCTAGGGAAGGTGATTCTTGACTGACCAAGCCAGCTGACATGCTTACCCCTGGAGCTGGGGAAAGGGAGATTCCCTTGCACAAAAACGAAGATTGAGGTCTTGCCACCAGAGAAAGAGGGACTGGATTTGGGGCCAGGAAAAACCGTAGATTAGTGACCAAGGCTCCTCCAGCTTGCATGCTGTATGCTTCCATTGCCAGCTGCCTGCCAAACTAGGGGCCAAGCCTAGGCTTCCCAGGGAAGGAGGCAGTATTTCACTGGGCCTTAAAGGTCATGTGGGAAGGCCAAAGGTGACCAGCCTAGGGCTAGTGGGAAGATGAGCACTTGAGTGTGTTTGGGAACTGCTGAGAAAACCAGTTTGGATGGACAGCGGGGGAGTGCAGATTGGTGTGTGAAAGTATGGTCCTGGCTGGATCCTGCCCCCAGATTTCCCAGCCTCACCCCTACTGGTTCCACTAGGGTATTCACATTCAGGAGCCCTCTTTGGGGTGGGCCTTCCCTGGGGCTAGAAGGCCATTTGTCCCAGGTGTCTGATGCCCACCTCCCTCCCCAGGCGTTCCTGGTCTATGCTGCAGGTGTCTACTCCAACATGGGCAACTACAAATCTTTTGGTGATACCAAGTTTGTTCCCAACCTGCCCAAGGTGAGCCTAGGGAGGGGTAGGGAAGGTGGGAGCACAGGACCAGGAGTGGGGGTTGGGGCTGCAGCAGAAGGAGCCCCATCAGAGTTCAGGGCCCTGGGTGTTGTAACCTCTTCATATGTTCAGGGAAATCACCGTTCTGGACCACACCTGCTGGAGGGTCGAGCACAGCAAGATCTGGGTGTTCTGTGAACTATTAGGTCCTTGCTAAAAGAGAGCCTAATGGAAACCAAAAGAGAAGCCTGGGCACAGATATCCCTCCTGGGGACTGTGGAGCTGAAGCCCAACTGGGGCAGAGGTAGCTCTTATACCGTGGCTCCTCAAGCTCCTCAGAGGGTAAGGTGCCCACCAGTCCCCTGGCGATCTTGTT